AGCACTATACTTAGCTGGACCCAGAGTCAAAGGAAAGCAACATTGTTTTAAAACTTACTCTATGCAATAAGGACCAACCATGGCCCTCGAACCCCACAAGATCAAGTGAGCTTGGCCTTTCAGGCTTTCAATAGGAGAATCCTGATAAGGCTGTTTGGAATTAGGGAAAGATCCTGCTCCTGGTGGCTGCTCTCTGGACTACTCAACCAAGACGCACCCTACACACACCACCCAGCCTAAAACTTGCCCTGCTAAGCAATCACTGCCTGGATCCTGTGCAACTGGGAGTCAGAGTCAATTGTCCTCCCCATCTGTACAAGGTGGGCCATACTCTAGCTAGTACCTTCAAAAGGCACACTGCCTTTCATTAAATCTAATTTCCTATTATCATTTAAATTAAAGATAACATGTACCTTCGTGGCAGGAGAGGTTACTGTTACTGTTTGCCTTGCTTTATGGAAACAGTATGTATTTGCTAATCTTGGCTGAGCATGCTACCTCAAATTGGTTAGGAAACCATGTTTTGGTGTACTTACTGTTAATGCTAACAGTATAAGAGTATCACAGCCAGGCAAAGATTAAAAGAACACAAAATGAATTGGTCTCAGTGCCAAGCATCCCTAAAGTTCTTCTCTTGAAAGCCTGGCCTCTGTAGTAGAGCAAAACACTGAGTGATGATTGGTTGAATCATAATGGATATCTTCATGAATGGATTAATTCACTGGTAAGTAACTATGGTATTTCTGTGAAAAGATTCTGGTTTATCATTTTTTCCCACTACATCTGGTAGTTGACCTCATGGCCGGTGGTGTCCCTGAATTTTGGTGCACGAAGCTACTTTATTCACAGCACTGCTTCCCAATTTTTCTGGGTAACTGGAGCTAAGAGTCTCACAGTCTCTTCTTCCTGGGCTGTACTTGTACACAGAACTCTGGATCTAAACCTCCTGGGTCACTAGGATTACAGGCCTCAGCCACTGGTACCCAGCAAAGGTAGACTTCTTAAAGGCCTCTATCTCCATTCTCTTCTGTGTCTCTCCATTTAGAACTGAAATGAGGTGAGCAGGTGGCCTCACCTCATCACCTGAGATACCCAATTTTCCACCATGTTCTTCTTAACCTAGATCACAAATAAGGCAGCCAGGTGGCAGTGGACAGAAACCTTGGACACCATGAGCCAAAGTGAATTGTCTCTTTTTGGGCTAGGAAGGTTTCTCAGTGGTAGAACGCTTGCCTTGCGTGGCTGAGGCCCTGGGTTCGATTCCTCAGCACCACATAAGCAAAAAGAAAAAAGCCGGAAGTGGTACTGCGGCTCAAGTGGTAGAGTGCTAGCCTTGAGCTGATGAGCTGAGGGACAGCGCCCAGGCCCAGAGTTCTGGCCCCACGCTGGAACCCCCCAAAAAAATTAAAAAAAAGATTTTACTTTTCATGTAATGGAACAGTGATCAACTATTATTCCTCATTAATAGTAGGATGCCAGCTCCTAAAGAAACACTCTAGGGGTTTGGCTTACTAAGATCAACATTCATATAAAATATGCCAAGTTAAAATATAAAAGACAGCTCTGGGAAGGTGGCTCAGTGGTAGAGTGCTTGCTTTGCATGCATGAAGCCCTGTATTCGATCCCTCAGCACCACATAAGCAAAAAGAAATAAGCAGGAAGTGGCGCTGTGGCTCAAGTGGTAGTGCACTAGGCTTGACCTGCAAAGCTGAGGTACAGCGCCCAGGCCCAGAATTCAGGCTCCACAACCGGGACCCCCCCTCAAAAAAAAAATATATATATATAAAAGAAACAATGTAATGAACATGAACAAGATAAACCTCAACTGATTAAGTACTTAAAAAGTCACCGGGCTTTGTATTTAGCTCTTTATAGCATGAGAATAACAGTGTTGTCTACCATCAATTTGAGATACTCTCTCAAACACAATGGAAGCTAAACAGGGCTCTGTGTGGCTCAAAATTGGTGGATCATCACCTATGAAGCCCAAGACCCTGAGAATCATACTAAACTTTTATAAAACAAAAATATTCTCCTTTCTAATCTTTGCATCTCAAACACACATTTCCAACAATGCATACACTAGCATTTCTTAAATAACTGATATTTTTCACAACAAGTGCAAAAGGACATAAAATATCCAAAAGTGAATTTCAGTGAAATCATAACTAGCCATGCTAAGATCTTCTACTCTTGGAAAATTTTAGCAGAAACAACTTCTTTAACTTAGCCAACTGAATATAAAACAAAAACCAGACTATAATCCGAACAGTTTACTAATCTAGAACAATTTCATTTTTCTTTGAGGTGATTTTTTTAAAATTGAGTATATAGTGTACAGAGGTGTTACAATTACATGGGCAAGATAATGAGTACATTTCTTATCAAGCATTGTAGCCTCCTCCTTTGTTTCCCCTTCCTGTCCCTTCATATCCTCCCCCTGCCCCCACATGCATTCCTCTCCACCTGCTCACCCTCCTCCACTCACCAGTTGGTTTTGCCCCCTCACCCTCCTCCACTCACCAATTGGTTTTGGACATAACGACTTGTACATCTCATTGTTGCAACGGGTCCACCTGTATCCCTATTTAAACAATCTGTTTTTCCCCTTCCCCTCCACAAAATATACCAACATCAAATACAGTGAAAGCAGGGTTATACTGTTGGGGAGGGGCATACAAAGCAACAAAGAAATAATCTTATAAATGTGTTCCGCATGAAAGGAAAAAAAGCATTTGAATACATATCTTAGTGTTCATTTCCCTAACATCACCTTATCTGACCTTTTCTGCTTGAGTTTGAGGTGATTTTTTTTGTCCAAAATTTTCTGGCCTTTCACTCTGCAATGCCACAAGTTAAAATCAACACAACTGACTCCAGGGAGGCTGAGAAACATGAAGTATGTAAAGTGTTCTCTTATCTTTCTGTTGATTTAACAAATGTCACCAAATTAATGTTTTTGTACTTTTTAAATATCTTATGTTAAATTTTCATTTGAATATTTTTATTAAAAATGAAATTCAAAGAAGACTTTGAAATACCGTTACACATACAAAAATTTTTACCAACAGACTAAACACCATGGGAATATGTAGAGGTAGTAAGAAGGTATAAGAGGCTTCAAAACTCAATCTGTATTTATGGTGGGATGTCAGCCTTGAAAATGAGTGTGAAGAAATTGTGTGTGTGTGTGTGTGTGTGTGTGTGTGTGTGTGTGTGTAACACTAGAAAATAAAAGCCTATTAGCTGATGTAGATTGGAGTATCATGAACCAGAAGATCCTTCAGAATGTGTTTCTTAAAATCAATTCTATTAGATGCCCCTTTTGGCAGTGTCCCTTTATATTTTAGGAGATGTAAAAAATTTCCTCTTTTCTAAAAAGCTTAATGCCTCAAGACTAGCAAAGTGAATTAATTTCATATTTCATTTATAGTCAAGTTAGTGACTTAACATGTAGTGAACTCTTAGACAAAACGGAAAGACTGGCTGATATTTGAAAGCCAAACTTCACATCTGAACTCTGTGGGTGTGTATGAGTGTGTGTGTGTGTGTGTGTGTGTGTGTGTGTGTGTGTGATGTGTGTGTGTGTGAAGATGTGTGTGTGTTGGGCTTATCGCCTGTCTGTCTCTCTGCCTGCCTGCCTAAACTCAGGCCCTAGGTGCTGCCTCTAAGCTTCTTTTGCTCAAGGCAAATCTGAGCCCCTCAACTTCTTCTATCGTAAGCTCTAATAAAAGCCAGCCAACATTTGAACTCTTCAAGCATTGTTTTCTAATAAACAAAAAGAAAGCTTAATATGCCAACTCTAGGAATTACTTCTCATTCATTTATTAAATGGAGTTGTAATTCCTCCTCATGGTCCTTTCATTGCAAAATGGGAAGAATTTTTACCAGCTTCGCAAAACTGAAGGACCACGTATGAGTTAGTTTCCCAGAACAATTTAAGGCATGAATACAAGTTGTTACGGAAAACTTTCTACACAGTTCATTCATTTTACCTCTTTTCTCCAACTGAACTCTACTCTTTGTATATCAAGTTTACAGGAAGATCGCACACATTTCTAGACATTCAAGCTCTATATTGTCGAATAGTTTTCACCCCAGACATAAGATTTGAAGAATGCCCAAGAAAAACAGCTTAGTGGCCAAAAAGTGTCATCAGGTACCATTCACTTCTAAGAGTCTTATAAAGCCCGACTACATGAGGTCTCATTTGTAAAACACAATCTGAACACATAGAACAATAAGCAAAATTACTTGGAAATGTTGCTCTGCTGAAAAATAGAGAGGAGTACAAAGGAAATCTTACTCTCAGTAGTAGCATTCTTTTCCCACTGGACAAAATGAAAACTTGGGGCAAATACGGTCAATGTGTATTCAGCATCCCTAGCGTCCAAAAGGCTGAGGAAACTAAGACCAGGAAATGATTCCTTGTAAAGTTCAATTAAGACTTGACACTATTTATATCACCAAAATCGTCTCACCTCCAAGGAATGTGAAAATGTCTGCCCCAACCTGGTTGATTACTTTTTAGAGTGACTCATCTTGTTGAGATGAGGAAAGTTAGGTAAGTAAGCATGCACTAAAGCTTCAAAGACTAAAACTTCAGTACAGAGAAGGATTGGCTACTTTACTACAAAGCAACTATTGGTTGATGCTTTTTCATCTTTTTTCTTTTTGCTCATCTGTTAAAGAAAGGGAGTAAGATCCGGAATGCTCTATTGAATAAAGCCTACAGAGAACTCAGCTGTATTTGTACATCAACAGCTGCCTATGACCAAGGATGACTGCCTTTAAGAAAGTCTCTTGCTTCACAGCACACGTTTATAAAGATCCGTGGACACACTGTGAGGACAAGCTCTCATCTGTATGGTGTCGCCGTATGTGCTGGTTCTTTTCAGAGGGTCTTCGAAATCCTTTCTTGCAGTACTCACAGCGGTGAGGGTAGTCTTTTGTATGAATGGAGATAACATGCCGTTTAAAGCCTGAGGCATCTGTGGTGCTGTACTCACAGTGCTCACACTGAAACACTTTCCGACCACTGTGTGTGTTCATGTGCTTTTCAAGCTCATCCTGTTGTTGAAATCCCTTTCGGCACCTCTTACATCTAAAGGGAGGATCCTTGGCATGAACTGACAGAATGTGGCTACTTAGCAGAAATGGATCTGAAATCTTGAAGTCACAATGTCTACACTGATGCATTTTTTCATCCATGTGGACAGCGGCATGTTTCTTGAGTTCGGAAGGCCTGTGAAAACCTTTACCACACATGTCACACTTATGAGGATACTCCTTGGTGTGAACTGAAATTATATGTCTCTTCAAATCACCTGAGCTTGAGCTCCTGTGGTCACAATACCAACACTGGTGTCTTTTGCTTCCTGGGTTGATAAAGCCATGTTGCCTTGCTTCTCTGGTATCTGGGGAAGTCACAAGATAAATGTCACCCTTAAATGGCATCTCTTTGCCGGGCTTAGACTTTGGAGGTGTTTTCAAGTTAGAAGAGTCAGCAGACCCATATTCCCAGGACAAGTGTTAATAGAGCTCCCTCCATCGCATCTCCCTACTCCCCACCCCCCACATCACTGACAACCCTGCCAGTGGATTCTCATGGGGATTCTGATAGGGGCTAAAACATTTTCTGCACCCTACACAACTGTGGGGAGAGTTCTTGCTAAAAGGTGATGACTCAATATCCCTTGTTAAACAGCTGTCTCGCATTCACAGAATTTATACCTAAGTACCTTTTGGTACTTTACACATCACTTTATGAGAAAACAAAAGTCTGAGAATGAGAAAATCTCATCCTACACTCCTACACATGAAACACAGCTTCACTTGACAATTTGGTTCATTGTCTATTGGAGATAATGGTCTCATGTATTTTCCTGCCCAGGCTGGGTTATCTTGACAATAATGAGTGAAATTTGTGTGCATGTGGCTCATGCTAGTAATCCCAGCTACTCATGAGACTGAGGATCTGAGGATTGAGGGTCTAATCCAGACAGGGCAGAGAAGTTCCTAAGACTGTTATGTCCAATTATACCCATGTGAGAGCTGTAAGGGATGTGCTGGCTCACTTTATTTAGTGCTAGACCTAAATGAGAAAAAAATGCAAGGGGGAAAAGAAAGGAGAGCTAGCACCCTAGCTATGTACCTTAGCTCAGTGGTTGATGACCTAGAATAAAACAAACAAACAAGAAAAATCCTGTGAGTTGAAACTCACAGGACCCCAAAAACAAATGACCAGACACATAAGGGGGTTTAGGAATTTTGTTTCATCTCCACTAAAATCAGCTTACACTTTTGATTCCTTTCCTTCATTCTGAACCACAATCAGATTTTTCCAAGGAAAATGTCTCATGACTCTCCCTGAATTCTAGAAACTCTATTTTCAAAAACAAAAGCCACTTGTGGCCCATCAATTTCTTCTAAAACCTCACCAATGTGTGGAGTAAAAACTACCCTTCCCTCACCCATTTGCTGTTGCTGGGAATCATCTCTCTTCCTTTTCCCTGGGTTTTGTTTAGCGAGTCGATCTTGGCCACCACACTCATCTACAGGCAAGAGGGTACCTGCTCCAGGAATCTGGTTTTCAGATCCATCAGAGACATCACCTAGTAAGTGAGTATTAAAAACATTTTTACAAAGTGTTATGAGGCATAAAACTGTAGAAACTCTTAGCCACAACCACGAAGACAAAGTGCTGACACTCATGAGTTACAGATACTCCTTATTTCAGTCACTGTGTCTTTTTAAAATTCTTATTTTATTGTTAAGGTGTGCAGTCGCAACAGGGGATATGCCATAGGGGAAAGAACATACAAAGAAACAACAACAATAACAACAAGTAATAAAATCACATAGTACTTTTAAAACAGTAACAATCAAGACAGACCTCTTGTATCCATATCTTGGGGTTCCTTTCACTTGGCATCAACTTATATGGTCATTTGTACATGGTGTTTGAGCTTTTCAGCTCATCTGATAAGATTATCCTATATGGATACTAATTATTGCAAAGAAGGGAAACCATGAATCCTAAATGTCTTTAGGACTGGGCAACTTCACTTAATATGATCTTTCCCAAGCCTTTCCATTTCCTAACAAAAGGGACAGTAATGTTCTTCCTGATGGAAGCACAGAAATCCATTGTATATATGTATAATATCTTTTTGATCTACTCTTCTAATGAGGGGCATCTGGGTTGATTCCATATCTTAGCTGTGGTAAATAATGCTGTGATAAACATAGCTTTAGTATGGCCTTGTTTGTGATCCTTTGGGTAAAAGCCCAGAAGTCATATGGGTCATATGGGAGCTCTATGTGTCATGTTTTGAGGAACCTCCATACCGCTTATGCACTGTCTTATGGGCACATTCATATCAAGACCAGGAAATGCCTTGCTCCTAAAGGGGCCAAGTCATAAGCCATGTACAAGCAAAATTACAAGCTAACACATTGAAAGTCTGCCTCTTTCTAACATACCAAAAAACTCAGGGCAAAATCCATAGGAGAAAAAGAAAACCCATCTGAGAGTTCCTCACCTCTTCTTAAACCACCACAAATTCATTTCCCAATGCTACACTCTAAATAGCACGGATTCCAGTGTTTTCAATAATGTGAAACTGAATTCTTCAAGTGCTATGTGACTTACTGTAAGCTGCTGTCCATGTGACTGGCATCAGGGCTTTCACTTCATTGTCACCCACTTGCTGTTCATGTATAGCAGAAGATGCTACAGCTGCAGCATCTTCCTCTCCTGCAATCACATCTATATATCCTTCATCGGTAATTTCAGCAAAACCTAAGTACAAAATTAAGTAAATGCACAAAAATATTGCTGAGATGAATTATTAATTTCATACAGAATCTTGCTAGCCCAGGCTGGCTGAGATCCTCCTGACTCAGCTTCCCAACGTGATGGGAATGAAGGTGTACACCATCAACCCCTTCCATAAATTTTCAAGGCACCAATGTACCTGGGCTAAGGTGGGCTCATATGTGTAACCCTAACAGCTCAGGAGGCTGAGATGTGAAGATCTGAGGTTCAAAGCCAGACTACGAAAAAAAGTGTGTGTCACTCTTGTCTACAGTTAAACACCAAAACCTCAAGCTGAAAGAGACACTGTTGTTCAAGTGATAGACCACCAGTCCGGAAAACACAAATGTAAAACACAGAATTCTACCACTGAATGTAAACCTCAAAGAAAAGAAAGGGAAACACAGAAAGAAAATGAAACAGAGAGAAGGAAAAATGCAACAAAGGATGAAGGGACGGAGAGAAGAAAGAAGAAAGGAAGGGAAGCACAGGGGAAAGAAGGAATGCAGCAAGGAAACAAAGAATGAAAACACGAAGGAAGAAAGGAAGTAATAAAGGCTGAGAAGGAAAGAATAAAGGCTAAAAGAGGACAGAAAGAAAGAGTTCATGAAAGAAAGCAAGAAGGAAAGAATCAACAATCTAAGGATTTCTTGCTGATTTAAAAGACAAGGATGCCTTCTTTGAGCAAAGAGACCATAATAATTACTAAAACAGTGTTCCTTACTTCATTCAAATACTGCTTGCATTCGTTACCATGTGTAGGCTGGGCAGAGCATCTTATGTGTCTAATCCAGCCACTAAAGAAGAGAAGAGCCGCTTGGAAAAAACCCGGAGAGAGCATCTCAACAGACATCCTGCGTGTGTGCCCCAGGTACTTACTCAGTAGACTATTTTTAGGAGTAATACAATCTGAGACAACAGCAATCTGGATGTGTGATTCTAGCTACGCAACAGTCTACAGTTAGCAGCAATATAAGCTGAGGCTGTCCTTGGACAAAAATGTTAGTTCTGCCTGAAATATAATAATAAAATGGAGGTATGGACACGTTCAGTTAGCGGAGGACCTTCATAGTAAACTTATTGTCCCAAATACAAAATCCCGAGTAGCACTTTACTCCCACAACTTACGGACATGTTTCCCACCACATGCCTTCTGCTGACTTAAGACTTCTTTTTCCTGGAGTCACTGACAGGCATACATGTTTCTATTCCCTGGAAATAAAAATTCTTTTGCTCTGACACACTAGTCCCACTCCAAAATTACTCTCAGGTGGCACTTTCCACCATGTCTGCATGGGCACCGGTCAGGAAACAAGACAAGAATTCATTTGAACCTTCATTTCAACACAGTCCTCTATAATACTTTTACCATACATTTCAAGTACCTCTTAAAAGATGTCTCCAAAGAAGATGTCAATTATTCTGGTATACGAAAGCTAAGGTTCAACCATTTAAGGAATCAAGATGAGTAATTTGGGACAGCATATACAACATGCTGAAGGTTTCCTTTTTACCTAAGTCATCCATTCCACCGTCAGATTTTAATGTGGACATCTTCATGACTTCAGGGCAAGTGTCATCTACTTTACAAGAACTGACTTCTGGTTCCATGTCCATGTTCAGTCTAATGGGACCACCATGATCCAGTTTGCACGCATCATCCACTACAGAGGTGGGAAATGTATCAGAATCAACCAGCTTATATACATGAAGTAGTGCTATTTTCTTAGTTTTTTTGTCCAATACAATCTCTTATCTGATTCACAGAAAACAAAATAATTTAATAGATGTTTGAGAAAAAACTGTCCCAGCAGACCACATAAGTCAAATTTCTGGTATTGCTAAATTAGGCTACAGTAAACAAAAAACAAGACATATACTTTCTTTTGATTACCAAAAGGTGCCCAGGCTGACTTTGTACCCTGGTCCTCCAATCTGAACTTTCTCAGTAGCTAGTATTATAGGCCTGATCCAAAGATTCCCTGCTGAGTATCTCCAATTCTTAATCCTACTTTTAAATAACTGCTTGTAAACAGGTGAGCTAGGTTGTGGAATCTTGGAACTATTTTACAATCTTCTAATTAAAATTGGTTCATTATTTGTAGCAATTGCAAAGCCAACATTATAAGCAAAACAGCAGTGAAAGTTAATCCTCTTGACTCTCTTTCCTTATGAAGAACCAAAACTGATAGGTAAGAATATACTAAAACCATCCTTCCTACAAACATGGGCTGTAAAATGTAGCAATCAGACATGCAATAATTCCAAAGTCTTAGGCCCTACAACCAGTGATTTTAGATGTTGTTGTTGTTTTTAGCAAATTTTTTATTGTGACTAAGTGACTATATAAATTCCACAGTATTGTGAGATAGTGATACTTTGTTAAAGTCACAACCACATTCTAACTTTCATCGGGCAAATTGTCTTTATCATGGTCTATAGAGTTTATGAGTTCTATGAGCTTTGACAATATAGTTTTATCTTCCACATCAGGTGATGTGTACATTTCTTTCCTTGTGCTTAGTGTCAGCAGTTCCCACTTTCCTGCTCATTCCCTTCCCTCCCATTGCTGACATTGAGTTGCTTAGTTTGTTTTGATCAATGACTTGTGAAGCTTATGGGTCCTTCTGATGGATTTTTTTTACTTTTCCCTCTTTTTCTGTGTTCTCCATCTAGTATCCCTCAGATGTGCACATATTGTACCACATAGGTGCAAAACCTCTTTACACTCAGGAATATACCTCCAAGTCCTATTATCCTTATGCTTTTCCTCCTTCCCTCCCTCCATTTGTTCTTTTTTTTTATTATGAAAATAATGTACACAGGGGTTACAATTACATGGGCAATATAATGAGTATATTTCTCATCAATCATTGTAGCCTCCTCCTTTGTTTCCCCTTCCCATTTCTTCCCATCCTCCTTCCGCACCCCGATCCATTCCTCTTCCCCTCCCATGCCCCCCAACTAAAGTTGTACAGTTCATTTTTCCATATAACGAATTGTACATGTCATTGTTGCAATGGATACACCTGTATCCCTATTTATATGATTTTTTCCCCTTCCCCTCCACAAATTATACCAAATCTCAAATACAGTGAAAGCATGTATGTCCCCCCATGGTGGGGGGGACATACATAGCAACAAAGATATAATCTTATAAATGTGTTAGAAACAATCACATGAAAGAAAAAAAACGTTTGAATACATATCTTAGGGCTCATTTCCCTAACATCAACTTATCTGACCTTTTCTGCTAGACTCAGACACATACTAATTATTGCAAATATGGGGAACCATGGGACCTAAGTTTCTTTCGGCCTGGCTTACTCTATTTGTTACTTCCTCTCTTACTCTCTCAGTTTTGTCCTCTCCTTCCTGCTCTCCTATTCAATTCCTCCTTCCCTTCCTGCCTTGGCCCCTGACATGCTCCTTTCCTTCATTTTGGGTCTGGAACTGAGGTTTGATTTTCTTGTGTAACTTTTTAAAAATACGATTTCTTTGTTATTATTAAACAGTTGTATGGAATATGGAGGGGTGGGTCACAGTTCCATGAGTCAGGTTATGAGTATAATACTCTCTAGATAATGTATCACCATCCTTTTTTCTCCCAATTTGCCCTGCCGTCCTTGCCCACAAGTTGTACAGCACATTGTTTCCATAAAGTATAATGGATATCACATCTACATTTGTCCACCCTCTGTTTGTCCACCCTAACAGTACAACCAACCCACCAGAAAAAAAGAATAAAAACACCACCAACAAAATGAATTCCATTTGTGGAATTCGTTTTCATGAACAGTATTTAAGATGTACACTTTTGGATTCCTCAAGGAAGAGTATCCTCTTTGGGTCTGTCTGTTGTGTCTGTTCATGAGTAAACACACAGGGCCTGCAGAAGGTATCATGTACCACTGTTGTTTAGGAGGCATCGTTCACATATGAGAGAAAACGTAACAGTTTGGACCAAGACCTAAAGCCACATCTCCACTTCCTGCTCTTTGGTGCTTAATTGGAGATAAGAGTCCCTTGAATTTGCTGGGCACAGTTGGCTTCAAACCAACATCCTCAGATCTCAGCTTCTTGAGTAATGAGGATCAGAGGCATGATCCACCAGAGCAATTGGTCTCAGAATAAAAACATCTTTTATTGAAAGGAAACTGATATACTTCACAACCTAATGTATGAAAGGTAAACATTTTCTTACAAAAATGTTCGACAGCTAGCAAATCCCAGGCAGTAGTGCATGCCTTTAATGACAAGGTTGGCCTTCAGCACATTTCTAATCTCAGCAGTATCCAGATGAGTGAACAGCTAATGGACTCTCAGCTGCACTATTACTCACTGTGCTCTGGAAGCTCTTGGTGAATGTTTACAATCATGGGATGTAGTATTTCTCTTTGTACTTAAAGTCAAATGCTTATCTGAAAGAATTACGTGACAGCAATTAGAGAAGACTTGCGCGGTATATATGCAGTGTGTACGCTATCTAAGGACCTGTGGTAGTATATCATGATTGAATGTCATTAATTTAAGAACTGCCACATTGGGGGAGGAGGAACATAGGAAGAATGAATTCCAGTCCTATGTTTTAAAAGCATAAACTAGAATCTACTGTAGTACATTGCAGCATCAAGAGGTTTTACTTCTATAAAGATGGCGTCTGGAAGATGTTCCAAATGTATTTTCTTCAATATGGGGAACAAACATTTTTAAGTATAATAAATATTCCTGTATAGATAGTTTTTAACATTTTTAAATTGAACTTTATGGATATGAATAAAAAAACATGTTTGACTGCTAGCAAATCCCAAGCGGTAGTGCATGCCTATAATCCTCCTTAGTAGGAGGCTGAGATCTGAGGATAGGGTTTAAACGAGCCCCAGGAAGGAAAGTCTGTGAGACTCTGAATTCCAATACATTATCCAAAAGAGCCAGAAATGGACCTGTGGCTTAACTCTCAAGAGAGTTAGTCTTAAGTAAAAGAACACAATGATAGAAAAAGGAAACACTCAGGGTTAGAACTCATTCTCAGAGATCAAACTCCAGCACAACACACACACACACACACACACACACACACACACACACACACATACACACCCATCCAACCCTCCTGTTCCCTGGCGCCTTCCTTATCCCCCCACCCCCACACCACTGGGCTGCCTGCAACAGTGAGGAGCTACAGACTAAAAAGAAAAGGTTGGTGAAATTAAGAGGTAAAGACAGCAGAAATTCAAGATACACATACATCAGAAATGCAACAGAATTTCAGGATAAACATACTTCAGACAAGTTGAATAGAGACAAGAACACAAAACAAAGTCAATCTTGTGTGGCAAGCTGACTTTTTCTTATAACAAGAGTTCCAAAAATTATGTAGGTCAAACAGTAATGTCTTCATGAAAGGATGAGTTGAATTTTGTGTATTTTAATTTCTTGTTTTTTAAGGTACCTGTCCTGGGAATGGGGCTCAGGAACTGGATACTATACCTGAGAATTTTTGCTCAGGGCTAGTGCTCTACCATTTGACCCACAGCTCCACTCTAGGCTCTTTTTGGCAAGTCATTGGAGAAAAGAGCCTCATCAGCTTTCTTGCCCTGGCTGCCCTTGAAACACAATCCTTAGATCTCAGCCTCCTGAGTAGCAGATTAGGCAGGAGCCAACAGGGCCTAGATTTCTTAATCATGCTTAAGACAAGGTCTCACTATATAGCCGGGGTGCTTTCGAACATGAGATACTCCCACTTCAGTCTTGTGAAATCGCGAATTACATGTGTGTACCACTAGAGCCAGCTAAGATGGCTTTCCCCAGAAAGTATTCCTGTGCCTCTACCAATGCTACTACTTCCTAAAACTGTCTTTTGTGCTTACTTTCTTTTTCTTTTTCCTGTGTTGGTGTGCCTCTCCTGGGGATAGACTAAAAGACCTGAAAATGTCTTGGAGAGGATTTTGGCTCCAGCCTAACTCTCTATCTTTCCTGCCTAGAATGGCTTGGAATCAGAATCCTCAGATCTCAACATCCTGAGTAGCTTGCATTGCAGTCAGGAGACACCTGTGAACTGAGGTGTTTCTCCATGTTTATCAGGTGTCAGGCTATCTTGAACTTAGTAACAGGCAATTTGTGTTTATAACTTTTGTCAATTTACAAGAGAAACTGTATTCCAGAAGGTTGTTGCACTTCCTAACCTATGCACACAGGATCAGGTTTAAATGTTCTTTTACAACTCAAAAGGGCTAAACTTCAGTACAAGTTCAGTGACATTCATGGACTGGGAACACTGAGAATGGCCTTTTATATTTCTCATTTGTGAGAGAGCTAACAAGAAACTCCTATTTTCTAATATTGTAAAAATGCCATGTGTCTGTATATAAGAGGTTTTTCTGTGTTTGCATGTGGGTGCATGTGTGCAAATGTGTGTGCCCACCTGTGTCAGTGTGTGTATACAAAAACAACTGGAAATATAAATAAGAGGATAAATTCTAAGGTTGGAGCAATGGCCTGCATTTCTAAAGATAACCATACACATTCTTAGAGGGAATAGTTTTCTGGCTGGAGTCCAGATGTGATGGAGGACACGGTATGGAAAAATACAATACATGAGAAAACTCCTTTCACTGTTGCCTGAGGGAATCCTGTGCAATGTACAAGGAGCAAAAACCTGAAAGGGGAAATCAATATGGTGGATAAATGGAAAGCAAAGAAGGAGTGAAACCTTACAACCAAAGGAATTAAATGTGGCCCCAAATCTGCATAGTCAGGAGAATCTAAAGGAAGCCACACAGAAACCCTGAGTTTGCCCTTATAGAAGAAATTCCAAAGGGAATCCAGTTATGTATCTCAGAATCCTGAGGTCAAGTACTACCAGTCTTGCTGGTAGGGAACTGTGATAATACACTAATAGACACATCCAACACATCCAACTTGAAACACTTTGATTGTGATAGCTACTAGGATGGAAGTGTATAACTGGGAAAATCAGAGAAGCCAAGTGACTAGAGTGAAAAACCAATGAATTAGCTATGAGAATCTGGCAGAATAACAAGGCCATCAATGAATCTTAAATTGGGACATTTCTTCTCTCAATAAAAAACTCCAAGTTTGATACATTAAAAGTAGGATCATGTAAGACACACTTATACCTATTGCAGGACAGAATGAGTTTGGTTCTTGTGGCTGCATCTCAAATCCATCTCCATCCATGACCTTTAATGTTGAGTCGTCACAGCACCTACGACAAGGCATAAAGTACAACCAACAATGAAACGTTAAAAGTATCATGATTTGGCTCAACCTGAGCCCATTTAATGAAGGGATTTCTGTGAGAGTTCATTATACCTTAAGTTTAAGGTACCTTAATCTTGCTATCACCAGTTCAAAAAATGGTAACAATTCAAAGTATCGAAGAAGTGTAAACACTTGTTGCATTTTTGGGTAGTCACTGGCCTCCCTTTATAATGACCTTGTGATTACAGAAATAGGGAGGAACATGTAACTGTATGTCAGTCTCTTTCACTCACTCTCTGGTCTAAAAGGGAACTCTTCTCCACCATTAAGGAAGACAAGTTCATATGAGCACAATAAAAACCCACTTTCATAACCTGGGTGAAACCCTAATCCCTCTCTTTCTCTCATTGTAGCTAAAATCCTAACAGAGGTATAGAAAAAGAGTAAAGTTATTCACTTTATATTTAGTTTCCGTTAGAAAAATTAAAGTCTCAGGTATAGATAGATATATACATAGACACATAAACACATAGATAGGTAGATACATAGATACATATATTGATATGCATTTCTTTTTTTTTTTTTTTTTTTGTCCGTGGTTGCGTGCTGTTCCTGCGCTCTTCAGCTCAAGGGGAGAACTCCACTGCTTGAGCCACTGCACCACTTCCTGTTTTCGAGTTGCTTATTGGATATAAGAGTCTCACAGACTTTCCTGCCCAAGCTGGCTTTGAACTGTGATCCTCAGATCTCAGCCTCCTGAGTAGATAGGATTACAGGCGTGAGCCACCAGCGCCCGGCCATTAATATGCATTTCTATTCAGAATAGATGCTACCTGGGCAACAGTGGCATACATGTTATCCTAGCTACTCAGGAGGCTCAGATCTGAACACCCTGGTTCACAGACAATATAAATGAGAAAATCTTTGACATCTTACCTCCAATAAGCTATTCAGAAAAAGCTGTTGCTGTGGCTCAAGAGATAAGGTCTTATCTTTGAGTACAACAGGCTCAAGGACAGAGATCAGACCTAGTACATGAAAAGAGTTTTTTTTTTTTTTTTTCAAAAAAGGTTATGTGGTCCTGATAAACACATACAAGTAAATGATACACTCAACTGTAATTTATATATAAACTATAGCTTTTCAACATCCCATGTATCTCCTATTCACTGGTAAGAAACATAGTTTAAGACAATCACATTGCTTCAAATAACAAGACCATAGTCGCTATACTAATGTATCATCAACCCGAATGAAACAGGGAACCAATACTGGCTGCAAATCCATTATTGTTATTCCTGATTTTCAAAACTAGGTCTCACTACATATTTCTATTTCTTCTCTTAAAAATGTAAATGCAAGTAAGGTACGAGCTCTTGGCTCAAACATGATTCATGGAAAAGTTGAGATTACTAACTGGCATTATACTTTGAAGGTAGTCAGGGTAGAAACTTGTTTGCAAGGATGCTTTCTCAATGAAGTGCCTGATAAAGTGCCAGGGTCCTGTTATCCTAGCTAGTAGGGAGCCTAAAAGGAATTCTTTTTCAGTCTCAGGGACACCAGGCCCTGATTCAATCTCCAGGACTGGCACCCACACAATTAAATCCAAATTAATCTTCTCTAACCAACTAGATGAAACTGAATTAAGGGTATATTTGGTTTATCTACAAAATCCAATCAATTAATGTAATAAAAATGCTAGTGCTTTGGATGAAGGGTGTGCTCTGCCATGCAGGTTTAAGGCCACAGCAAAAGCTTGCTACATATGTAAGTAGACTCTTTCTAAAGACCAACACAAAGGCACACATGGAAACAAAAGTGCCATTGATATCCAGAGCTGATGGCTCATGTCTGTAATCTCTAGCTACTCAGGAGGATGAGATTGGAGGACTGTGGTTGAAACTAGTCCCCAAGAACAATATCTCAAAAAAAAAAAACAAAAAACAAAAACAGAAGGGAAGTTACGGCTCAAGTAGTAGTGTTCTAGCCTTCAGCTGAAGAGCTCAGAGACAGTGCCCAGGCACAGAGTTCAAGCCACATGACAGACAAAAAAATTCCATTGACATACCAAGGTTTTCTTTCTTAACTACTTATCCTTTAGGCTGCTCAGGATTTGGCACACAATTCCTTCCCTTTCCTTAAGTGACATCCTAGTTTTCCTCCCATGTTTCTCAAGGATACTATAGCCTTGTCCTTTCAAATTTCTGATTTCCTCCCATATTGTTGCTTTTGTTTTTTCCAACAGGACAAACATGTCCAAACCCACAAACTAAGGGAGAGTCCTAACATGTAATACATTACAGTTTTCTTCACTCCTGCCAGACTGGGTATCATCTCTTACGAATTTCTCATTCACAATTTCTCTTCCTTTACTTCTTTTTTAACATCACAATTCATAATTTCCTGATGTCTGAAATCAATACAGCCCTTCAAGTGGATTTATTCCTTCAAGACACAACCACATCTGACTAGAAACCTTATAAACAAAAGTAAATTTTACGTAGACGTCCTACAATTGTGTTAACCGGAGGGAATCCCAACAATCTGTAGACAGATGATTATTCCAACAGTATTCCTTTGATCATCAATAGAGGTTTGCTGCTCAGAAAAATTTTACACAGATGTCTAGTATTCCAAAGACCCTACAATATTAGGCTAAGTCTATCACTGACTTACCTGCTATAAATACTAATTTTGCCTGGTAAGCGAGCGCTAAGTACATCACTACTCCAACAAGAGGTGTGTTTGCTTCCTTTCCACTTTGGAAAGGTTCTTTGGTACTCAGCCTTCTGAGTTTCAATTGTACTTTAATCATTTGTGACCAAGCACTAAAAAAGATGAAAGAGCTCCAGTACATAGGAAAGCAATCCGCAACAGCTATATGCTGAAGACTATCTGGCAAAGATAGCCACTATTTGTAAAGCCTGAAGTCTGGTTCTGTGAAGTCCCACTGAATGCTTTCCTTTGCTAACACATACTGGGGCACAGGAGAGGTGAACACACCTCTCATATGAGCAGTTACTAATATGAGCAACCATCTCCTCTTTTCATAGGAAGCAACAGTGCATTTGATGACCTACTTTCCCCTTCCTCACTTATCCTCAGAAATAAATAGGGATGCAACCTATCAGCAGAACATATGTTCTCCATGTATGAGGGCCCTGGATAAAATTTCCAGCTCAAGTATAGTCATGGAGGAACTGGAAGTGTTTCCATTTTATATTTCAGAGCACCTTAAACCTCTTCTAGTAATGTTTTAGCAGAGGCCCACTACTGCTAACTTCCTCTAATTATTCAATGACACCACTCTTATCAGTGAAACATATGGCAGATGTATCTACAAGCAGGGAGAAAGAATATGCTGGTAACATTGGACTGAATTACTCACAACAATACAGCCAGCACAAGTAAGTGTCTCAAGACAGATGACACAAGGAGTCCAAGTCTATATGCAAATGTACAAGAAGACCAAGTGATCACATGGGTCACCAGATGGTTGCCCTGAACACACTATCTATTTGACCCTCAGTCTGTTTCTCTCTGTCTCTCCATATCAGTCTACCTCTCAGCCTTCACTGTACCTTGAGCTTGACTAAGACTTGCAAAATTAAGACCATAAACCTCCTGTGAAGAGCTCATTTGGAAGTTTTAATTAAGGAACAGAATCTAGGAAATACATGGGGAAAAACATATATGTTAATTAGACTTTGAGAAAAACTGTTATATAGCCCATGTATTACCTTTTTACTACACATACTACTTTCCCAGCCTACCTTATCTTGTCTACATGTTCTCCATATTTCCACAGGTTAAAATAAGGCTGCAAAGGAAAGCCAAAGGCTTAAGAGCACATTCAATGAGGCACTACCTTTCAAAGTGACACATTTACTCAGTCGGGATGTAAAAAGACAACTTAGAACTTTTCTTAGTGTATCTTGTTTTAAAATATTCTACATCTAGATACTCAGGTACCTTGTATTAAAATCTCCTATGTCTAGATACTAATATCTAAGGATAGCAGTTTATAGCCAGGTTGTCTACCTATGAAAGTCTACAGTACACTCTTGACTCCAAGAAAATAACCAAAACAGGAAGTGGCTCAAATGGTAGAGTGCTAGTTGAGAGAAAAACTTAAAGGAAGGACCGTGCTTAGATTCTGAGTTCCAGCTCCCAAATCCCAGAATTCAAGCATCAGAAACAGAATAGAAACTGCACCAGTGCCAGCACTCCACCTACTCCACCCAAACTAATGAAAACGTAAACAACAACAACAACAAAAATAAACAAAAAAACAAAACAAGTGGAAATGCTTAGCACACTTATAATCACGGACTTACATCTAGGGCTCTCCCCTGGTCTACTCATCATTAGAACACTATTTTACAAAATGACAAAAATGAGATAATATTTTCACAAAAGAAAATTGTATGAATATCAACTAGATAAGTACAACTGAGTCATCATATAATCTCAGTTCCTCTGGAGACACTGGTGAGAGAACCAAGAGTACGAACACTCATGTCCCACAGCCAGTGTGACCAAACTTCAAAAGCATATTCCATAGGTGAAAAACGAGGGTAGGGATAGAAAGTTTGAAAAAAAATAAGAAAAACAGAACAAAACAAAAAATTATATTCCTCACACGGTACAATATTTCTAAAGCAAGCTTTGGTTACTCTTACTGTATGAGTACATACGTACAAAAAAGTAATACATACAGATACTTTTTTTTTTCATTCGTGGAACTTGAAATCTGGTCATGAGCACTTCCCTCAGCTTTTAAATACAGGGCTAGCACTCTACCAATTTAGCTACTGCACCACTTCTGGTTTTCTGATGGTTTATTGGACATAAAAGTTTCATGGAGTTTTTTGCCCAGGCTGGCTTTGAACCATGATCCTTAGATCTTAGCCTCCTGAGTAACTAGGATTACAGGCGTGAGTCTCCGGCACCTGGCTTCTACTCAATGCTGCTTAATTATTTTGTAAAAAGTACTATACTGAGATTTTGTACTACTGCAGTATAAAAATCATGTCAAATCATAATCTAGCACATTTCAAATTTTTAATTAGGTGTTAATTCAGAATTATGTTTACCTTGTTATATCTGAGTCTATACCTGGTTTGTTTTTAAAACATCTATACATGTATTGGCCTAGGATTGCTGCTTGTTAAGGTATGGTACTTGGGAGAGTGAGAGAGAGGGGAGATTGTGGTTCAACGCCAGTCTGGGAACTCCTGGTCTCCGTAGAGACCAGGGGACACACTGAGACATGCCTGTAAAGCAAGTCACCAGGAGGAGAACTAGAGTCAGAGCCTGGCCCAGTCAAAAAGGGAAGGCTCTGTTTCAAAAATAACTAAAACAGTTCAAGGGCCTGTAATCCTAGCTATTGAGGAGGCTGAGATGTGACCAGCCATGTTTGAATCCAGACTGGGCAGGAGAGCCTTTGGGACTCTTAACTCCAATGAATCATTACCAAAAAAGCTGAAAGTGGAGTTGCTACCAGAGCCAGCCCTATAAACCAATTTTATGCAAGCCAGTGGATATGAACCTATGAGGGGCACACAGAGATGCAGTTATCTTGCTGAAAAGAATTTTAAACCAAACAATATCAGAGAAACACTACTCATTAGAGTAGTGTTGAAAGAAATCTGCAATTGTTGGCAAAGTTGAAACTGTACTCACAACAGATGACATCATTTCTACTTTTATAATACATTTATTTATTGATGTGATATTTAGTTATGTAGTTAGTTAGTTGGCTAGCTAGTCAGTTAAGATAGACTCTTCCCAACTCTTAGGCTGTTGTGATACTCTGGCCTCAACTTCTCAAGCTGCTGGATCAACTCCGTTCCCCGGCATCCAACACCTGAGAAAACTGTGCAAAACTCCTTACTGGAGAGGTGAGGATAAGTGGAAAGAAAAACTAAGCCAGAAACCCCTCACCAATCGATTCCTGACAAATGGCGCATCTGTAGTCCTAGCTACTGAGGAAGCTGAGAGCCAGCATGACCAGGAAAGTTCCTGACATTCTTATCACAAATTAATCACTCAGAAAGCTAGAAGTGGTGCTGTGACTCTAAGTGGTAGAGTGCTAGCCTTGGGAAAAACAGCTCAAGGACTCAACCCAAGTCCTAGTTCAAGCCCCAGAACTGCTCTCCCAAACCCCCTACCACCATACAAAAAAGAGAGAGAGAGAGAGAAAGAAAAGAAAGAAAAGACCCAGGTTCTTTACAACTTATTTATTATACTCAGCGATTTCAAACTTCTAATACATGTTAGCCAAAGTAACACCAATAATCAAGAGCACTGGGAACCTTAATTCTTACCTACTTTGGCCTTCCAGTTCTTTGTCCTCTCCTCTCTAGCACATTGATGGCTACTTCTCAAATACCCAATTGAGCACCTTAAAAAGTCAAATACAGTATGTTTATCTGAATTATCTGAATGGAAAGGGATCAACAAAAGGAAACAAAGGAAAAACAAAGGAGACAAAGGAAAAAAGCTAAACCAATGCCCAGTGATACTCACAAGACACTATGTTGAAAACGCACTGTACAACTTAACTGGGTTGGGAAGGATGGAAAGTGGGAGACTAATGAGGTATGGGGTAATGGGTAAGACAAGAAAGGGAGTGGTTGCCTTTCATTTGTAACTCTAAATCATCTGTATACCACCTTGAAGATAAGGAAATTGACAAAACTGGCAAATTGACAAGTCCCATTCCTAGAACAAGATGTGAATATGTATAAAGGTATACATAAATGTACAAAGGATATATAGATAGATAGATAGATAGATATATGTACATACACATGCAAAGGAAAGGAAGGAAGGAAGAAAGGAAGCAAGTCAATCAGTCAGTAATATATGAACCATTTTTGGCCTCAACTATGACTTCATCTCCGCTCTTTCCAACCCTAGACCAGAACTTCAGGAAAACATACAACTTCTTTGGCCTGTGCTACTTTTTCAGAGGAAGCTAGCCTATCCTCAGTTCAAGATGCTCTTACCTCACATAACTGGGATCACAATCCTGTGCCATCAGACCCAGTTTACATGTCATCTTGCTAGCATAACCTTTTGCCCTCCCAGGCTTCAAAGTCATCCCGTTATGCAGGTATCATTACAAGCATAAGCCACCATACTCAAAGCTCAAATCACTAATTTTTTAAAATTTTTATTTATTTTTTATTGTGAAAAAACTGTACAGAGGGGATACAATTACATGGGCAAGATAATGAGTACATTTCTTATCAAGCATTGTAGCCTCCTCCTTTGATTCCCCTTCCTATCCCTTCCCATCCTCCCGACCCACACCCAAGCCTCCCTGTACCCCCAACCAAAGTTGAAAAGTTTGACAAAACACTAATTTTTAAATAAGGAAAGGGACTGTCTTTCTAAAATGTATGTAAATTGCATGGCTGAGTAAACGGCTGCACACGCTTCCAGAGGAAGCTGTAAATTTAAACCTAATATTTAGTCGCGATTACTCATTTTTAGAGTTAGAATATACATAGTCCTTTTATATCTTCGACTTTGTATTTTATAAAATATTCTGTAATGTGGCATTTTTACATAGAGTTTGACTTTTAGTCCCCGCATGGCGTTTTGTAAAGTATCATCCTCCTATGTTTTCTAATTATCCTTTCCTAATTATTTTAGCAACTATCTGCCTCTTTTTTATAGGTTTAAATAAATAATTAGTTTATGAAAACATTAAATTGTGTGTAAATTATGAAATAACACATCCTTTGGCCAAAACGACTACTACCAAAATATGTATACCTCTGGTTTTCCAGTTCATCACCGTCTACCCCTCTAAACACACAAAATAAAAACAGTAAAAAAAATTAAAAGAAGTACTCGTATAAATATACACACATATAAACTCATCACAGGATTTCCTGCTAAAGATAATCTCACCTGTTTTTTTTTTTTTTTTTTGGGTCCAGTCATGGGGCCTCTACTCTGGGCATGGGCACTGTCCCTCAGCTCTTCAGCTCAAGGCTAGAGCTCTACCACTTGAGCAACAGCGCCACTTCCGGCTTTTTTCTTTTTGCTTATGTGGTGCTGAGGAATCAAACCCAGGGCCTCAGGCATGCAAGGCAAGTGTTCTACCACTGAACCACCTTCCCAGCCCCTCACTTGATTCTTTCTTATGCTTGAGACTAATTTACTCTTCATCGGGCACAACTAACTGATATCCTGAAACACCTCATGTCGATGTAATGTGCAGGATATATAATTCTATCTTCTCTGTAGGACTTCAGCTCTCCCAATACAAATCAGCTACTTCTATAGTCCAAAAAACAATGGCCTAAGCATTTTATTTCGCAAGGCAGCCAACAATGTCTGTACAAATGGCTGCCTCTCTGTTTTTACTCACTCCTTTCAAAACCTCTTCCTGATGTAGTAAACATGGAGAACTGCTGAAGCATTGCTGCTGTGATCAGCTGCAGTCCAGAAAAGGTGTGGAAAACTGGGCTTTTATACCGTAAGATTGTTGGAAACACATGCTCTACATGTTCAGGAACTCCAGTAACTGGACAGTCACAGGAGGTGCTTTAAGATTTCGATAAGTGAAGAATAATGAAAGGGTTATTGCCATTTGTTAAGTTCTTTCACCAGGCAGGGTTTTTGTGAGGACAGTGTAGGCTACACAAGTTTAGGAGCTACTCTGTAAATACCTGTGTCTTCATAATTAACCTAAGGACAGGGCAGACATCCTAAATCTTCTCTCTAGTCAGCCACCATAACACCCTTGCTATTAAGCCCATTGCTCTACTCAGCAAGATAGGAAAAGTAAGAGCAACCTACCATGAGAGAAGAGGCACCATTTCTTGGTAACAGTTAGTAGTGGGAGCCCACATTGACTCCCTTGGCATATTTCTCAGCCTTGAAACTTCTGCAGTGAATAAGAGCTTCTAGTCGAATGTCACACAGACCTCAGCAATGCTGCTCACAACTGCACCCTCATGAACTTTCTACTCTAAGCATCTCAGATTGTCTCAACTGGAGCCATCCTGTAAATATTGGCAACTTTCTGAGTTTTCAACTTACACATGGATGTCTTTTCCCTACTTCTGCCTCTATCTTGTCTCTCGGTAATTCTTGATCAAAACATCATCATCCTACTTTTTCTTTTTTTTTTTTGAACGGTGCCTAAATCTTTACTTTTCATAACCTACATTTTTTCCCAATGAGACAGTTTTACACTGAATGACACAAAAGGAAACTTAAATTACCAAAAGTTTACATGTACGCTTGATTCCAGTCTTAATGAAAAGGAGAACCAAAACAAAATCCCTCAAGAAAACTTCCACACCACATGCCCACTGTGACTGGGCAACCGGCAGTGCCCCCTGGAATCCGATTGTCTGCTGCTTCCAATGGACCAGGCTACAAAGCACACAACTCACAACTACAGCTCATGGAAGGGGTACAAAGACAGGTCTACACCATTTGTCATTTGCTGTGATATACCATACCAGTTCCTACTTATCAATGGTACATATCAGCGAGTACAGAAATATGAGATGTGTGAGCCACCTACAAGTGGCCACCAGTGATGCAGTGACAGGAGGGACCAACCAGAGGCATCAATCAGAACACCAACTCTTAAAGAGAGCAATTACTCAAAATTCATGTCTGGTGAATCAGGGCCAGATTCTATTCCTGTATTTCCAACGGATAAGGTATCATCACACAATTTTACAAGCTAAAATGTCATTTGTGACTATGGTATCTCTGATTCTATAACCTGAGACACTAAAAGAAAAGAAGTAGGAAAGCCACACGTCATTAGCTGTATGTGACAGAGCAAGAGTTCACATGAACCCTCACAACTTCCTATGGTCAAAAATTCTCATTATTTTCTGAGTGGAAAATCTCAAAGAGTATTATCATATTATCATTTTTTTCACACCATATAGCTATTTGGCATATCTACTAATTAAAAAGATATCCAAGCACCATTTCAGCTCCCAGAGCCAGGCTGTCCCACTGATAAACAGTAATTAAATTGTCCAACTCATTTGAGCAGCAGTGGTGTCCTGGCCACGGTGCCCCCTGTCTCATGCCCATAGCCCCTGAGTGCAGCTGCTGAGGAACAGCTGGCTCTACCCACACGGACTTGTGGCACTGCTATGCTCACGCCTGGGAAAGCATCTCTCTAAAAGCCAAGGTGTAACTCCATGAGCACTGGAAGTTGGGGGTGAAGACCAGAGGATGGCGGACCCTTCCCTGGCCCCTCCTCCAGCCAAGATGGGACCCCAACGACCTGCCAGTATCTACACAATATGTTAGTCTGAGCTCAACAGCTCAATTATTTCTGACTTTTTTTTGTCAGTGATCTGACAACTCTAAAAAAATTAATTCCCATGTTTCTTTAACAGGCATTTGAAGCGTATTAGCACCGCATGTTTCTATGTATTTAAATAATGACAATTGATACATCAGGCATGGTTTCCCTGGCAGGATAAATCACACTTAGCAATATATGATTTCATTAGAAGATTATTTTTTACTTTCATTTGAAGGAACTGCCAGTTTCTGCTTTCCAAATTATGTTCTAAGCCATTTCCCATTAGATATGATTAGCACTTATTTACATACTTCTTACAAGAATGGAAAAATCTGGATGATCTGAGTAAGACTTTCCATTTTCTTTTTTGCAGCAAAGAGGCAGAAACAGTTCCACACACCATTATAAGAAAAAAAACCAAAGAACACCTCAACGCATTAAAATACCTACTTTTTCATAATGCTGTGCATGTAAGCTAAGATCCCCAGCGGCCAATTTTCTGAGCCATATACTGCCCCACAAAAGACCCTAGTCAGCTCTCCTTACACCTTCCACAGTGCATCGACTATGGTTCTCTCACTGCTCAGCAACCAGAAAGACCAAAGACCTCTGAGAGAAGAACGTTTTTATTTTATCCACAGCCCCAACCCACCCTCAAGAGGAGAAACACCACCATAAGTATGTAAGGTCTCAAATATGTACTAATAACACTTAGCATTTCTTCAGAGGAAAACCCTGCAGCCTACTTCCAAACCCACTGTCATGCCAAGAATATTGAAAGGAAAAAGGGACAGGAAAACAACAGGGAAAAATAAAACGGAAACAAAAAGATGAATCATCATTCATTCAAAGAGTGGAAAACTTTCTCCCGATACATGACAATATAACCTCCAGACCTTCTCACTGTCCTAATTTACTCTTGTCTTCCACTGGACACACTAGGAAGCAGTATTTTCCCACCAAATTTGAGTTTGCATTTTCAGACAGTGGGGGCAATACTGGCTGAAATCGGCACCGCCTCAACCTAAGGGCTCATATGAGGTACTCGAGCAAAAATTGAATTTCCTGGGGTCTCACTGCAGCAGCCCAGGACAAACACCATGTGAGAAAGTGCCAGGAAACACCAGGCCGCACCAGGCAGCACCAGGCAGCACCAGGCAGTGAAGATGAAGTGCAGAGGTTACAGAAGCAAGAGAGGAAGACAGCCCAGCAGAGAAGGCGCACAAAGGCAGAGAGGGCAGGGCCGGCTCACAGCGCGTGCGGCCTCCCACTCTCTTGCTGTACATCCTCCTCACCCACCAGAGAGAAATCTTTCTCTCCAGAGGCCGCCTTCAGAATGGTGCTCCCCCTCTCCTGCAATCCCTGGTCGTTTCCTGGAGAAGGTAGGCTTACAGACACTCGAGCATCTTTTCCCCCACAGGGAGTTAGTCCAGCACTGCCGATATTTACACAGTGAAAAATGTGTGCGGCGCGGCTGCGGCCTTCGTCTCAGGCCTGGACCTTTGCCCTTTGCCCTTCTCCTTTCGCCCCCACTTTGGATCACTTGTCGGTCCACTGGGGCCGCTTCGGCTGCCTCGCACCGCTGGGCCACCCAGCCACCACCTCCACCCGCTTCCTCCCAAGAGCGCGCCATGGCCACCACTCCCTGAGCCGACTCCCACTGCGGCCTACTGTGGCCTTCCCCGGCCTGCTCGGATCGCAAGCTGCGTCTTCAGGGACTACTGAGCTTCTGGAGCAGCGTCGCCCAGCCCGACGCAGGAGAGGGACCATGGGGGGCGCCGCCCAGACCACCGCACTGACAC